GGGACCTCGGAATTTGATTCCGGGCATACGCCTAAGTCCCAAATCACGATACGGACCTACCGAAACTGTAAAAATACTGATCCGAGTCTGTTTACTCAAAATATTGACCAAAGTCAACTCAGTTGTGTTTTAAGCATCTAATTCACATTTTAATCCATTTTTCACCTGAAATCTTTCCGGAAAATTTTTACGGACTGCAAACGCAAGTCGAGTAATGATAAATAGTGCTTAGATCACATAATTAATCATTAAATTTAAAGATGATATTTTGGGTCATCACAATCTCCACCTCTAAAACAAACNTTCCGGAAAATTTTACGGACTACACACGCAAGTCGAGTAATGATAAATAGTATTTTTCGAGGTCTTAGAACACAGAATTAATTATTAACTTTAAAGATGACATTTTGAGTCATCACATATGTGTAATTGTGAAATGTGAAATTTGAAGTTAGGGAAAATACATTTGGTGTCCGTTAAATTTATTTCGAAAACTCAATTATATACTTAAACTTTACGGGTAATCTTTTACTCCCCTATTCATGCTCGAAGTAAAATTGGGTATACCCTAAATGATGATGAGAATGAAAAATTGCTTAAAATATTTTAAACTGTCCAAATGTCACTTGAACATTGTACACTAATTATACTGGATACGAAAAAGATCTTTTCTATTTTTCTTTTTTCTTATTCATTTCCTTTTCTTTCTCCATTTTCAACGAAGTGGTCCTCTTCTTTTGCAGGAGGGAGGTTATGGGTCTCTATGAAAATGGGAAAAATGGAAAAAAAAAAAAAAAAACGAGAGTAAGAACTAAGAAGTGACGGGGCTGGGGGGTTATTCTAGTTCTAGTAAAAAAGATGGGAAAAGATTTTAAAAATATAAAAAAGCCACGTGTCAGCGCATGTAAACATAGTTGGAACTAAATTTGGGTGTGACATTTTAAGGGGAAATAAATTAATTTCAAGAAAGAATAAGGGGTAAAAGATTGCTCGTAAAGTTTAAATGTGTAATTGAATTTTCGGGACAAGTTTAAGGGTAACTTACGTATTTTCCCTTGAACTTAAGGTAATTAGAATGATTGAGATTCACTTCTAATTAAAGTTTAATTTCTTGCAATTTGAGTTGGTTTCTTTCAGTCCCAACACCACAGCTCAAGTGGTTAGCTAGCATGATTTAGTAGGATTATATTATAACATCGGTGAAGAGGTCAAGAGGGCACATAAAGCCACAACTAGTCGATACCGGTGAAATTCAAAAATAGTCAGATTTACAAGTGGTAATTAAAAAATAGTAACAGTTTCAAAAGTAATCGAAATTTAATCACTTTTCATGTAAAAATAAATTTGAACGAAAATACTATTCAAAATCCGAAAAATATTCCAGCATAATATACTAGAGTTAGGATTTTTTATATGTGAACTTCCAGCATAATATGCTGTTCATACACAGGTGCTCCAATCTCCAGTATATTATGCTGGAACTTTTCGTGTGCTGGAGTTCCAGCATAATATGCTGGAAGTTCATACACAGGTGCACCAATCTCCAGTATATTATGCTGGAACTTTCCGTGTTACAGCAAAATAGTGGCTATTTTTCAATGACTTTGCAAACGTTGGCTATTTTTCAATTATCAGTCTGAAAACTGGCTAGCCCGTGCTATTTTTACAGTCCAAACCTTTCATGTTCGCGATTTGGGCTGAGCGAACCTAGAATTTAGACTTGATAGATTCAATCTGTAAATTTCTTATGGCTTAACCTTATGCATTATTATAGTTATAAGTTCAAATTTTAATATTTGTTGCTATTTTAGTAACTTGAGTTCAGTTAAACCATCAAACATATACTCCACTCCATCCGCCACCTGTTGTTGATAGTCGAGGAGGTGTCAGATTCAAATTACTAGCATACATTACCTTATAATTATCCTTTGAATTGCGAGCGTATCTCAATTAAACTTGATGATTCACTCTTTAAAATTCTTAGGACTGGACTCATTGCGATGCTAAAATTATAGCTTCATAATTTAATATTTGTTGCTATTTTAGTAACTTTTCACATGTATACATGTACTTGAAAATAATAAGTTCAATTGAAACCATCAAACGAGCTCCATTCACTACAGGTTGTGGTCTTGATACTCGAGGAGGCATCAGATTCAAATTACTAACATACATTACCCTTTGAATTGTGGGCACTGAGAATGAATACATTGTTTGAACCAAAGTTATTGGATTCGACCGAACTCGTAACCGGCATTGCTAGCTCCGCCCCTGAGCACCAGGAAGCTATGCAATACAGATAATCCTAGTCCTCCAACAATGAACTCTTCACCCTCCTTCAGCCAGCCTGCCCGGGCCAACCATCTAGGAAAGTTTGCACTGTATGGCCTTTTTTGAGGCCACTCTTTAAAATCTGTCCCAGTAAGCCAATGAGCTAAATTTCGTCTTTAAAGGTAGTGTGGGAGGTAGTTGGACCAATATTGCCCATTGGGCTAACGAGGACAGAATTTAAATAGTGACCTCAGAAATGACCATTTGTGCAAATGCCCCAACAATCTACCATATGTAGTGCTCTGAACTCTAAAGATGGTTCAACTGCATAATCTCTACACATTGATTTAAAATATCTATCTCATTTACCTCTACCTAAAATCATACTACTTCATCTAACTAGTTGGTGGTCAGCTTGCAAACCATAACCAGAAATGGTAAATGATTTTTCCAAATATTATGCCAAAGTAACCATGTTCATATCGAACCGGTTAATTACCAACCCCTAATATAGTCATACAGCTTTCAAGCTAGATTTCTTTAACAGGTGGAAAAGAGAGAAGAACAAACAAGCATGGAAATTACAGCATCTTTTTATCTATGGTTTCCATGATTCAGCAGATCTAAAAAGGGTAGCCCGGTGCATGAAGCATCTCGCGTTCACGCAGGGTCCGGGGAAGGGCCGCACCCAAGGGGGTGTGATGTAAGCAGCCTACCCTAATGCAAGCATTAGTGGCTGATTCCACCGTTCGAACCCGTGACTTATAAGTCACACGAAGACAACCTTTTTTTTTGATAACCGTGGTGTCCGGGCCAGCTTGCGCGCACCTCGACTAATTACACGGGATACCTGCCACCAGCAATAGGTACCAGGTAACTTTATCCACCAAGGCTTGGATAGATGGGAAGAAATCACTTAGTATTTGCCTCCGCTGGGATTTGAACCTGAGACCTCATGGTTCTCACCCACTTCATTAACCACTAGGCCACACCCTTGGGTGCTCACACTAACACAACCTTACCGTTGCTCCAAGGCTCCCCTTTATGATTCAGCTGATCTATGGTCAAAAAATGCAACTAAAATAAAGTAACCGCAAGGAACACAAGGGAACTAATAAAGGAAAACATGTGAACATATGATCAAGTGTTTAAATGAGCATAAGATGATGAAGTTATCGAAGCAAAAACTTCTGGTTTTCTGTCGACACTTGAGCCAAAGTTTGATAGTGAAGATTCAAAATTCACCCAGAAATATCACAAATACCACCTCGTTCTGGGCCATTGCACGGAAAACTTTAACCAAAATCCGAGTGCTTTGAACAAGGATGAATCTATGCTATCTCAACACTCACTCCATATAACCAAAAGATACCAGATTAACACGATAAACACCAACCTAAGAGATCCCAAGTGACCAATTATGAACAAATATAATCCATCTTTTCAGTGTGCGCGATTACCACAGATTTTGTGGTAGCCATGGTTGTAGTGTTGAGTGCAACTTTTGTGTAAATATTACAAAGGTGTCCCCTCCACATCAAAGTAAGTAGTACAAATCATATTTATTGTTTTACATAACCGGCTACCTCATCGAAGAAAGACACCAAAACCTATGGATAAACATACTGCACAGAGCATGATCTGTTAAAAGTCATGGATATATATTAGATCCGTTTCAATTAAGATTACTTCCAAAACTTTAAAGCCAAAGACACCATCTAAAGCTAGATCATGATTTACTAACAGAACACTCCACTAGGGGAAATATGATGTAAAAGACTGCTTAATGCCTCTTTTACTTCATTTAGTATTTAGTACAGCTTGACCTATAGGTCAAGGGTTCAAGCCGTGGAAGCAGACACTAATGCTTGCATGAAGATAGGCTATCTACATCACACCCCTAGGGGTGCGGCCCTTACCCGAACCCTACGTAAATGCGTGATACTTGTGCACCGGGCTGCCCTTTTTACACAGAATCTGTATTTCACACAACATTTTTCTACAACATACTGACAGTTCTATATTATACTTGTAACAAAAAACTACCTGACATACTAAAATTTCAAATCGAGACACTTCAAATGTTGTTCATAAGCACATCTCCACAACATTACAACTCCTGGTATTCAGGAAATCTTTACAGCTTTCATTGTGGTCATCAACCTTTTTCACTTTTTTACCCAAAATTGAGGGCTGCAATTTAAGAATTAGAGGTTGTTTAAAATGAGTAATTAGTTTCACTAGTTCCTTTCTGTCCCATCTTCAACCGTTCTACATAGTAACATTGCTCGGGAAGTCATACCATTTCTCATCACTTCATTACTATTTCTGACTTTCCTGAAAGAATTGGTGTTGAATCTAAGAGTTAACGCCTATTCTAGAATACACTGAGTGTAAGCGTAACCGAGCAACTTTTCATCTCGGACTCAATATTAAATTATGTCATCTACCTAACAACCATACAGATATCTTCTCTGAATCGAAGAAAACCATGTCATTTACATACAACAGTGTGGTTATTCTATATAGTACATCAACCAACACCGAATCTTTCCAAATTTCAGGTAAAGTCTTTGGACATGTTGAAGATAACTAACAGCATCAGTTATTACATGTCTATCTATAATTTAACATGTCGAGAACTTCAAAAAGGAAAGCTTTAAATAACAGCTGCATTTTGCTTAACTCGTAAGGCAATGAAGTCAAATACAGTTGAAGACAAGTAAAACTAATATGAAAAAAGCTCTCATGTATTACTATTCTGTCAAAATAAACATAAAGAGCCTCGAGTCATGCTCAAGTACATGCATGATCTGGTAATACAAGTAATAAAACTAATATGAGATCCTCAACAGCATGAAGTGAGAATGACAATGACCGACTGAAAAATAAAATTAGAAAAACAACAGATAATATAAAAGGTGTATAGCCAACAACAAAAACTAAATCATCCGAAAAAGGACGACATAATGTGATCTTCATGTTACCTCCATTGTCCCAAAACGTCATCCTACCTAAGGATAACACGAAGTAAACTCAACCCTGAGATTCATTCTTCTTAGCACCATTCTCCCCTTCTTTTTCCTCCAACAATCTTCCTGCCTCCTCGTCCTGTGCAGCCTTTTTCTGCGCTTCGTTCGCCTTAAGAGCCTGCAATTTGGCATGGTTGTAATACGCCACGCCCAAGAAAGCCAATCCATATCCAACCAAATTCACAGGGGTGACAGTATCCTTAATCACAGACCAAGAAAAGGCAATCAACAACCAATCCTTAACCACACCAGCAACATTCATTGTCAAAGCAGATGTCTTCCCCACAAGCAAAAACACAGCAAGATTCAAAGCAAACGCGCAGCACGAATTCGTACCAAAGATCAACCAATCCAAATGGAAACTAGATGTATCCTTTAACATTGGGTATTCCACAAAGATCCATGGAATGAACAAGAAAACCAAACAACACGGCGCAACATAATACAACGATGTAATCGGATTAAATGTAATACCCTTTGAAGTAAGCAAAATCTGAATCATAACCAATCTTGTAGCCTCAAAAGCTACAGCACCAAGCTGCAACATCACACCCCATGTATCAAACTTAGCTTCACCATAAGCAGCAATAGCAACACCAATAGAAATAGACACCATATTAGCCATAGTATCAGATTTAAAGTTCTCTTTTTTAAACATAACCCCAATTGAATAAACAGCCACTGGCATCAAAGCTTTAAGCATTTGAATAAAAGACACAGATAAATATATATATGCAGAATTTGATAACCAAAGTGAAAATGCATATAAAAGACCAATGGGTACCACAGATTTGCAATAAAGATCCCATGTCATAGTCACAGGCTCAACAACCTTAAACACTTTTACAAGAAGATAAGCCAAAGAAGAACAAAAACCCATGTGAATTATTGTTAGTGAAATGGGGTATGGCCAATTGTACAACTTTCTGTCCAGGATGTACTTGTTGTACACAATCACAGTGAAAGAGAGAAAGATCCAAATTGCAACATAGGTATATGAAAGCAAGATCTTTTTCACAACCCCTTCACTCAAAGCTCCTCCTTTCCCCATTTTTTGGCTCAAAAATCACAAAAAAATGATCAAAGATCAAAACTTTTCAAGAAATTCTTGAANTTATCAAAGATCAAAACTTTTCAAGAATTTCTTGAAATAACAATGCTAAGATTTGACATCAATGAAAAGGGATTTTTGGTGTAAGAGAAAGAGAGAGAAAAAGGGGGTGAAATTTTAGGAGGAGAAGGTGGAGGCGTTACAGGACAAAAGGAGAATTGAGGAGAGTTTATATGCATTCGTGTAAGATTGTTAGGGGATGTGAAGATGTGAAACTGCGAATCTGATGTTGCTTCTTTGACTTGGTAATTAATTCATTGTTGCTTTAATGGCTTTTTAGTAAGAAATATAACATTGTATTTCGTTTTTGCTAATTCATTCAATGTTTTTTTTTTAATTTTTGTCTTAACAAGAGCATATTATTTTGAGCCTCGTAGCAACGGTAAAGTTATCTCTGTATAATCTATAGATTACGAGTTCGAGTCATGTAATCAGTCAATCTGCATCACACACCCCTTAGAATACTGCCATTCTCCAAACACTGCGTAAATAAGGGATGTTTCGTACACCGAACTGTCATTTAGTCTCGATTCATATTCGTGTCGCAAGTCCTATTTTCAAAGCTCGAGCTCGGCTCAAGGTACTTACAATATAATGTTATGTTAAATTGTTGTTGTTTAATGTTAGATTGTTGTTGTTTAATGTTAAATTTATATTTCCTCTGATTCTTTTAATTTGTTTTAGTCAAATCAATTTGGTCCAAAAAAAAATAATCAAAAAGCCATTAATAATCTTTTATCTAAATCTGCCATTGCTCCAATAATATTCTATGTAAGTTATTAGAAAGTCTTATCGATCTTCAATAAAAGTTTGAGAAGAGATAAAAAGTAATTTAATAAAATAAACATTATGACTAATGCAATTTTTTTTTTATATGTGTGTTTGGACAGAGGAGGAATTTAAAGAATACATGTTAATAATTATGCTTAAATAATAAAATCTTTGGTAGGAAAAAAGGAGGAAGTGCACAATTAGTCACTAATTAGAGATGTCTTTACTCTTTAGCCATTATTTAAAATGTATTTACTCTTTAGCCATTATTTAAAATATATTTACTCTTTAGCCAGTGCTTAATAAATTTTTATTCGTTCGGACGAAAATACCCATGTGCTAGACATGGGTGCTATATTAATATTAAGGACATGGTATCCTTAACTTCATAAATGATGCGTAAATATTAAGGACAACATGTCTTGTATTTGCACCTTCCGTTGTTAAACTTTAGGACATCATGTCCTTAATTTCATATGTGCAATGTAAATGTTAAGGACATGGCGTCCTTAACTTCATGTGTGCAGTATAAATGTTAAGGACATAATGTTCTTAACTTGTATTTGCACCTTCTGTTATTAAACTATAGGATCTCATATCCTTAACTTCGTATGTACAGTATAACTGTTAATTATATGGTGTCGTTAACTTTATGTGTGTAGTGTAAATGTTAAGAATATAGTGTCCTTAACTTTATGAGTATTGTGTAAATATTAAGGGTTGTTGTCTTTAATGTTGGGACCAAACACACTCACGAAAGTATACGTGGTCGTCAAGTAATAGAGTATCGTTCCCACGAGGACTTATGATTAACTTTTGACTAATTCAAACTCAAATAGCTTATCGATTCAAGCGATTTCTTATAAAATAGATAATTGTCTAATTTACTACCTAAAGACTATCAAGTAATGAAATACTAGAAATCAACACAACACTTAAATAGTTTTAAATAACAATCAATGGGAGATAATATTCCAGGGTCACGGGTTATTTAACAATCATGTTCCATTCTTAGCTTAAAATAACTAATTGATTTATCTAGATTGTTGGTTGACAGGGTTGATATTACTCATAAGAATCTGTCGAGCCCTTACTCGCCTATTCAAGCTAACTTAATA